GACATAAACGCAGGTGCTTACTATTGGGTGGAGTATATTTTATTGTGTGGGCCGGCCTGCAACCAATGTTAATGTTCACTTATGCTTGAACAAACATCTTGTTTACCTGTTAAACACTACCGCTACAACAATCGATCACGAGAGTCAACAAGAATTGTGTTCTTACCTTTCACTCGTACTGTCAACTTGACCTCATGTCCATCCACCACAGTCATATCTGATATTTTATCGATAAATTCAGGTTTCAGGCCTTTTATTACTGGAGTTTTCTTAACTTCTGAAAGAAAAGTAAATAATTTATTATTAATTTAATATAATCGTTTTGATCTAACAAACTCCATAAACTCCATCATCACTGAACTGTAAAGTCAGCATTCAATGTCCTCATTGTTATTATTTTTAAGCTATTGTTAATTTTAGTTCCTTTCATTTTACTGTTTACTGGAATTCTATGAATTCTATTTATTCAAATCTATGTTTACAGTTGGCTTCAGAAAAATGAGCTTCATGTTTTTGTTTAGTCTTAAAATCAATAAAGTTTGACATAATGGCACAAAAGTTACAGAGAAAGGAATAAAAGTTTGAATTTTGAAACTTAGTTTACTTATACACTGTACTGTGAACTTTAAAGTACTAGTAGTAAGCTGTCTTTTTTATGCTTATATGAATCATTGTTGCAAGATTTTGACCAATTAAATGCAAATATCAAAACAAAACCAAATATTTTTTGTTCATTTGGTCCAGAAATTATAAAAAAGCATGTAAAAATTTGGCACCAAAATAATGAATGAAACAATTATGATATTTTTTTAAAAGTTTAAATTTTATGCAAATTGTAATGATTCTTGCTATGTTGGTTGACCATACCTTCTTCAATGATCAATTCTGCTGTACACGATACTTGTCCTGCTGAGTTGATAACTTTACAGGTGTATTCACCATCATCTTCATCAAGAAATGCTTCAGGAATTACTAATTTGGCAACTTTTCCATCAAATGAAACCTCGTAGATGTCTCCATCTTTAATGTCTTTACCGTCAAGTTGCCAGATGACTCTAGGTTTCGGTGTTCCAGTCACATGACATTCAAAAACGGCTTCTTCTGCATCCAAAATTTTGCAATCTTTCATCCGCTTAATGAATTTAGGTGCATGTGATATTTCTTTTTTACCTAGAAAATTTAAAACAAATAAAATGTTACATATGTGCTAAAATTAACTTCTGTTTAGTGATAGTAACAACATAAAACTCCCATAATGCAGTGCAATTTTAGTCTTAAATCACCGTCCATGAGGGACAGTGTTTAAATGCACCATATACTAGTAGTCTGTGTAAAGTTACAACTCCCATGATGCAAATATCTTTTAAACACATCACATTTTGTGTGAAGCCAGAAATCCTAGGATATATTATAAG